TCCTCAAGTCCTCCAAAACCTCGAACAACTGGTCTCCTCAAGTCCTCCAAAACCTCCAACAACTGGTCTCCTCAGGACCTCCAAGACCTCCAACAACTGGTCTCCTCAGGACCTCCAAGACCTCTAACAACTGGTCTCCTGAAGTCCTCCAAAACCTCCAACATATGGTCTCCTTGGGTCCTGGACCTTTACAGGTAGATGAAGAGGGGAGTCTTCAGAGGAACCGGGTCGTGGATCAAACAGACGTGTTGTTGACAGAAAATGTAACATTTCCAGGTTTGTAGTAAAATGATTCCAGTCCTCGTGTTCCTCTGAGAATAAAATAAGAGTTTATAAATCATGGAGCTGGTTTTGTTTACATTTTACACACAATAGGCTGTTGTTGTTGTATCATTGTTGTGTTGTTGTTTTATCGTTGTTGTGTTGTTGTATTGTTGTATCATTGTTGTGTTGTTGTTTTATCGTTGTTGTGTTGTTGTTGTTGTATCATTGTTGTGTTGTTGTTTTATCATTGTTGCGTTGTTGTTTTATCATAGTTGTGTTGTTGTGTTGTTGTTGTATCATTGTTGTGTCGTTTTATCATTGTTGTGTTGTTGTATCGTTGTTGTGTTGTTATTTTATCATTGTTGTGTTGTTGTTGTATCATTGTTGTGTTGTATAATTGTTGTGTTGTTGTTTTATCATTGTTGTGTTGTTGTTTTGTCATTGTTGTGTTGTAGTATTTTTGTTGTGTTGTTATATTGTTGTTGGATAGTTGTTGTTTAGTTGTTGCTGCAGAGAGGTGGCTCCTCCTCCTCACCTTCAGAACTCTTCCAGGTGGTCCACAAGTCCTCCAGGCTGATGTGCAGGTTGGTCCGGTGGAAGCTGCCAGGTTTGATTTTGGGGTCGGGATCCTTCAGGTCCTCCCTGAGAAACTGAAGAAGAGGCTCAGTTTCCACATCAGAGGTCTTACCTTCCATTTTCTGTCTCTGTCCCACCTCATCCGTCTCTGTGGTGTCCACCATCCCGTCCTCGTCCTCGTCCATCAGTCTGTGGATGCTGCGGATCGCCTCGAAGCTCAGGACCGAAGTCTCATCGTGGCAGAGCGGCGGATCCAGCTCACACAGACCTGCAACAAAACCATTCCACTGTCAGAGGACTGAGGGAGACCAGGTTTCCTCCAGACCGGACCCGAACAGTTCTGATTCAGTCAGAGCAGAACCTGTAAAAGACAAGTCTGACAGGGTTAAAAACTGGACCATCAGTGAATCAGAACCAGCAGCAGGTCTCAGTGACACTGCATTCACGGTCATTACGGAACATTTACCATTTGGTTTCAAACTGCTTTAAATTAGAATTTTAATAAACTCTAAAAACTGACAGGAAGTCAGAGAACCGGACGACAGGAAGCCAGAAAACTTGACGCTTGCCGTCCTTCCCGTCTATCAAACCCTCTGATGGTTCGGTTACAGGACAACTCTCAGCTACTACCACTCCAAAGTTTAGCTCAAGTTCTAAAATTCACTGTTCAATTTTTTTATAAGGGTTAACTGTGGCGGCCCTCTTGAATCCATCCATCATCTGGATCTGGACTCTGGTCTCGGGGCAGCATCTTGAGCAGGGAGGTCCGGACCTGTTTCAACAGCCAGGTGGAGCCAGCTCTTCTGGGAGACTCCGAGAAGTTCCCAGGACAAACAGAGACATCAGCCTCTTGTGATTGTAAAACCTGGTTTGGTCTAGACCAGCTACAGTCAGCCCAGCCCCGGTCTTCCCCAGCTCTGGTTGTGTTTGCTGTCAGCAGAGTGCTACCTCAATGTGGCATCATCATAGCAAGACTGCATCTCGTTGTTTGTCCATGACAATGGTGCTGCCAAGAGAAGCTCTCTCCATCACACAACCGGACAGGAGCTGAAAGACACGGAGGTAAGGAGCAGTTGTTGGAAGTATGACTAATCTGTGACTTGACCCCAGGGCCAGCAGAGTCTCTCCTGGAGAACTGAACTTCTCACCCTCTCTTTAAGGGAGAGTCCAGCTACCCTGCAGAGAAAACCCATTTAGACTTTCTGGATCCAGGATCTGGTTCTTTCAGGGAACTACCCAGAGTTCAGGACCATAGGTGAGGATAGGAACGTAGACAGACTGGTAAACAGAGAGCTTCTCCTCACAGTTCAGCTTCCTCTTCACCACAACGGACCAGAACAAAGTCCACAATACTGCAGATGCTGCACCAATCCGTCTGTAAATCTCACGCTCCATTCTTCCCTCATCATGAACAAAACTCTGAGATACTTGTACTCCTCCACTTGAGGCAGAACCTCACCCTCTACCAGAAGAAAACAATCAACTCTCTGACTGAGGACCATGGTCTCAGACTTGGAGGTGCTGATTCTCATTCCAGCTGCTTCACAATCAGTGAGAACTGCTCCAGTGAGAGCTGAAGATCACAGCACGATGATGCCAGCAGGACCACATCATCTGCAAAGAGCAGAGATGGAGTCCTGAGGCCACTGAACCGGACTCCCTCCACTCCCTGGCTGCACCGAGAAATTCTTTCCATAAAAGTTATGAACAGAATCTGTGACAACAGGCTGCCCTGGAGGAGTCCAACTCCCACCCTGAAGGGGTCCAACTTACTACCGGCAATGCAAACCACTCTCTCGCACCGCTTGTATAGAGACTGAACAACAACAGGCCCCAATCCCATACTCATGGAGCACTCCCCACAGTGTACCTCAAGGAACATGGTTGACAGCCTTCTCCAAGTCCATAAAACACATGTAGACTGGATGGGCAAACTCCCATGACCCCTTGAGGACTCTAGTGAGGGTAAAGACCTGGTCCAGTGTTCCATGGCCAGGACGGAACCTGCATTGTTCCTCCTGGATCTGAGGTTCGACCAACGATCGGACTCACTTCTCCAGTACCCCTGAACAGACCTTACCAGGGAGGATAAGGACAGTGATGCCCCTATAATACCCCTATAATATAATGGTATATATTGGTTTCCGGTAAGATGGCGCCCTGTGTACATGGCTTGCAATCCACCTCTGCTGATGGTGTTCAGATTATTTTTGTTTTTTGCATTTCACATCTGTGACATCATCTCTCTGCTAGTGTATGAAAGACAACAACTTTTGAATCTTTGTTTTTCTGGCACTGAAGTCACTTATTTGAACCATTATCAGTGTACCTCTGGACCCTCCCTCCCCCCCTGCTGGCGGACGTGCCAGCTTACCTTCGCTGCGCTCCTCACCTGCCTGCCCAGAGATCTCGCTTCAGAGGTCGGGGTAAACGTGCTGGTCAGCTGGTGAAGCTGAAAGCTCTGCGCGCTGCATCTTCCTCTCCTGTGTGCCTGGACCAGGTAACCAAAGGGAGTTGTCAGCCGGTGCGCAGCTCGGACCAACCTGGAGGGGCTGTTATTGAAAAGCTGCGACCATTAGCGCGCGCTAACTCCACCTCTGCTGGCTCCACTTTGGACAGTATCCGGATGTGTTTGGTCAACGCAAGATCTGTTACCAACAAAACTTTTATCCTCAGGGACTACTTTCAAGAGCACGATTTGGACTTTCTGTGTATCACAGAGACTTGGATGTCTCCAGGTGAGTCCAGCGCCTTGACGGAATTATTGCCACCGAACTATCTGTATTTAAACGCCCCGTGGCCATCAGGCCGGCGTGGTGGTGGATTATTAACAATATTCAAATCAACTTTTGACTGTAAACAACTGCCCATCCCAGTTTCCCGTGCCAGCTTTGAGCTAAGCGTCTTTGAACTCGGACATTCACCTGCAATGTTATTTGCACTCGTCTACCGCCCACCTCGATCTAAGGATTTCATAAATGAGTTTTCTGACTTCTTGGCTGAAATCACACCAAAATATGAGCATCTTTTCATTATTGGGGACTTTAATTTGCACGTGTGCTGTCCTGAGAAGCCCTTTGTTAAGGACTTTTTAGATTTATTGGACTCATTTAATTTAACTCAGCATGTGAACGGCCCCACCCAAGAGTGTGGACATACACTGGACCTTGTTTTAACTCATGATATGACTGTTAATAATCTTGTTATTGGTGATAATGTTTTCTCAGACCACATGCCAGTCCGGTTTGAGTTCACCCTCCCCCATCTAACTCCTAAGTCGTGCATTCCTGCCCGTAGGACCCGGACCATTAACCACTGCCACACGTTTCACAGATGTTTATAACTCTGAAATGATCATTCAGCCCCCAGTGTTTCTCACCACCACTGAGGAGCTGATATCCCAGTTCAACTCTGTCTGCTTAAAGACTATGGATCATGTTGCGCCTGTTAAAACTAGAAAATCAAAACTGAGAGCAGAACCTTGGCTGAGTGATGTCACCAAGGCCGTTAGGCAGCAATGTAGGAGGGCGGAGCGAAAGTGGAGGGAAGACAGGCTGCAGGTCTCTTTTCAAATACTTAGAGAGTTGGCGCCGTTATCAGAAAACAGTAAAAGCTGCTAAATCCAAAATACTTCTCTGATATAATTACCTCAAACTCTCACAACCCACGTGTCCTCTTCTCCACCCTAAACTCTGTTCTCCACCTCACTGAACCATCACCTCTGGAAGCCTCGACTGAGCTGTGCAACAACTTCTTACATTTCTTTTTGAAAAAAATTGCGACCACCAGGGCTCTCATTTCCCCTCCAACTCATGACCCATCCATCCCACCTCAATCTGTAGCTCCTTTTGATCATTTTGAACCCATCACTCTATCTTCTCTAGAGCAGGTCATGTGCAGCTTGAAACCTTCTGGTTCCACCTTTGATGTGGTCCCCCCTCGACTACTAAAGGAGGTTTTTCCAACTCTAGGTCCGTCCATTCTTGCCATAGTAAACAGTAGTTTATCCACTGGCGTGGTGCCAAAATCCTTTAAACATGCTGCTGTCCAGCATCTCCTGAAAAAATCCAAACCTTGACCCCTCAGTCGTTTCCAACTTCCGGCCTGTCTCCAAACTCCCATTTGTTTCTAAAGTACTGGAGAAAATAGTCGAGTCCCAGTTGAAGTGCATCCTGGAGGATCACTCCATCTTAGAGCTTTTCCAATCTGGCTTTAAACCTCCCCACAGCACTGAAACTGCCCTGCTGAAGGTCTTTAACAACATCTTCATATTCACAGATACCGGTGATTCTGTGCTGCTTGTCCTGTTGGACCTCACAGCCGCCTTTGACACCATCGACCATGAGATCCTCATTGCTAGGTTGGAGCAGTGGGTGGGCGTCACAGGGTCAGTCCTCAATTGGTTCAGATCTTACCTCAGTGACAGATCCTTTTGTGTCTCCATCAAGGATTTTAGTTCTGCAGAGGCAGAGCTTAAATGGGGGGTTCCGCAGGGGTCCATCCTGGGTCCCCTCCTATTCTCTTTATACCTGCTGCCGCTTGGTGCTATTTTCCGGAAACACAACATGCCATTCCACTTCTATGCCGATGACTGTCAAATTTACTTCCCCCTAAGACACAATGGTACATGCTCTATTCAACCGCTGCTCGACTGCCTGGCTGACATCAGGGACTGGATGGCTTTAAAGTTCTTAAGTTTCAATGAAAAGAAGTCTGAAGTCATGTTGTTCCCTCCCAACGACACGATCACAAACCACTGCTTCGACCTCTCCGCTCTAACCCTGTCAGAAAAACAAAGAGTCACTAATCTGGGCGTGATAATGGACCCTTCCCTGAAACTTAACAATCATGTAAACATGATTAAATCATGCTTCTTCCAACTGAGGCGGCTGTCTAAACTGAAGCCCATATTGTCCAAAAAGAACCTGGAGACAGTAATACATGCATTCATTACATCTAGGCTTGATTACTGCAATTCGCTCCTGTTTGGTATCAGTCAGACCTCCATTGCATGACTACAACTGGTCCAGAATGCAGCAGCCCGATTTTTAACCAGTACAGGCAAGAGAGAGCACATTACACCAGTATTGGCCTCACTGCAATGGTTACCAGTTCACTTTCAAATCCAGTTCAAAATACTCCTGTATGTCTACAAATCACTGAACAGTGTCCGTCCCCCCCCCCCCATCTCTCTGATTTGCTACAACCGTATGTCCCACCACGCTCCCTGAGGTCAGCGGACCAGTTGCTCCTCACAGTTCCAGGAACTCGTCTTAAGCGCAGAGGTGACAGGGCCTTCTCTGTAGCAGGACCAAGACTCTGGAACGAGTTACCTCTGCTTGTCAGACAGGCCCCCTCCCTCTCGGTTTTCAAGTCCCGTTTAAAAACTCACTACTATTCAGTAGCTTTCAACACCAGATGATCTGTGTTTGATCCTGTATGCTCTACACTGGTTTGTCGTCATTATCTGCATCGTTTTTATGTCTATATTCTGATTTACCTCATTTTGTATTTTGCTGTGTGTGTTACCTGTTGTTCTGTCTGTACAGCACTTTGGTTGGCCTTGTAGCTGTTTTAAGTGCTTTAAATAAAGTGGTATGGTATGGTATAATTGGAGTAAACTCTCCGGTGCCCCTTTTTGAAGAGGGGAACCACCACTCCAGTCTGCTGATCCAGTGGCACTGCCCCCAATGTCCACGTGACGTTGCAAAGGCGTCAACCAAGACAGCCCCACAACATCCAGAGCCTTAAGGAAATCAGGGCAAATCTCATCCACCCCCGGAGCCCTGCTGCCTCGGAGCTTTTTAAATACCTTGGCAACGTAAGACTTGGTTATTAACAGACCAACCCCGAAGTTAGAGGTCAACCGAGAAGGTCTGAGAAGCATTCCTTCCACTGCCCGACGACAAAGCTAATCAGGTCTTTATCCAAGGTCTCACCAAACTCCTCCCACATCCGAGCTATTGCCTCAGCAACAGCCAAGGCTGTGGACCGCTTGGACCTCCAGTACTCTTCAGCTACCTCTGGAGTCTCACCAGCCAACAAGGCCTGATAGGGACTCCTTCTTCAGCTTGACAGCCTCCCTAAAGCTCCCAGTATACTACTGCGTACGTCCGTTCACGCGTACGTATGCGTGTACTGTACGCAGAGGGTTCAGACTTCGTACTCGAGTGAACACCCCGAGCCGCTGCAGAGCAGCTTCACAGACAAGGGGCGTTTACCTTCAGGACAAACTGAACCGACTGACAGGTCAAGAAAAAAAAAACGAGCGCTGGCAGCCTCCGCTGCAGCGGTGTTCTGTGTTTATATGTTGTTAATAAAAAGATCTAAAAGAAAAAACAGGGAGCGCTGGCTCTACAGCCCACACATCAGACCAGCCCACCAGGAAATCTCCAGACCCTCCCGCAGCCACACTGGACCCGAGTTTAATTCGCTCGTGACAAATTCCTTAATTTCTCACCATTTCAGTCATGGCATCAACGGAGGAGATCACTGCCTCTTGGCAACAAAAGAAAAGGCCAGATCAGAGATGAAGAAGGGGAAATTAATACATTGGTGTCACATACAAAACAGTCCGTCGCTGGGCAGTTTATTGTGGGACACCACGTACACGTATGCGGTCGTAAAAATTTGAGCTTTGCACGGACATGCCCTGGGGGGTACGCTCATATATCTGCGTACATACGTGCGTACCTCTGCGTATGGATGTACGCGGGAGTATACTGGGGGCTTTAACCTGGGGTGTCCACCACCGAGTTCAAGGATGGCCACCGTGAAAAGCACCGACAACCTTGCAGCCACAGCTCAAGGCAGATACCTCAACAAGTGAGGAGCTAAACATGGTCCACTCTGACTCAATGTCCCCACCTCAGCTGGGATGAGGTTCAAGCTCTCCCTCGGGTGTATGAAGATCTCTCTGACGGGTTCTTCTGCCAGGTGTTCCCAGCAAACCCTCACTACACGTCTGAGTCTACTGGGTCTGTCCAGCATCTTCCTCCACCATCTGATCCAACTCACTACCAGGTGGTGATCAGCTGACGGCTCAGCTCCTCTCTTCACCTGAGAGTCCAAAACAAACGGCTGCAACTCAGAAGACACGACTACACAGATAGTTATCCTGATGCATGCTCATGCTCATGCTTGGATACACAGATAGTCGTTTCATAAACTTTTGTCTGACAAGAATCTGAAAAACTTTTCTCTCATCAGAAACATTTTACTTTGGTAGTTTCAAACAGGAAGTCCAACAAACACCTGAAGGTGATTACCTGAATCTATGTCAGCGTTGGAAACCGGCTGATGCTCCAGGTGGGCGTGGTCACGCCTGTCCAATCCGCTGTCGGCACCGACGTGCACGCTCAACATGCACACACACAACACTAACACACACTCCATACCTGAGGACAGACAGGAAGACTGTGTCAGGCATTTCAGAATAAGAGCCTGAACTAACAACTGCAGTGGAATGTTCTGCTGGTTCTGACAGAGAGGGAACCATCAGAACTGGACTTGGATGGATTGTGTGGATGGTTCGATCCGTCCCCAACTCTTCTGAGGACACATGGCACCAGGTGCATTATGGGAAGAAGGCGAGGCGGCAGTGAGACACTTTGGATGAAGTTCTGCTGGGAACCCTCGTGTCCTGCTGAACATGTGGATGTTCCACAGACCCAAAGAACCGACCCGACACTGGTGCTAACCAAGTCCAAAAGCCCAGTTCTAATGGTTCTGGACCTGGATCAGGATTCTGGTTCCGATGACAACATTAATGCAGAACCATTTGCTGCCTTCACGGACCACATATTTTTCAGGACATTTGAATATTTTTCAGAAAGAAGAGGGGGCAGGTTCTGGACCGGCCCACCTGCTGGTCTGACCTCTGACCCGGTCCTGTTGAACACCTTTAGCCAGAAAAACAGCTGAAACTCTTCATCACCTGCTCTCCTCATCATCAGAACCTCCAAGAAAACATAAAGAGAAAAACTGGACCTGGTTCTGCTAACCCGGGTCACAGAATAGAACCGGGTCGATGAGAACAAGAAAGGTTCCGGCTTTTTTCTGTTTGACAGGAAACCCTTTAAAATAAAAGCATCAGATTACATTTTTTATAAAGTTCAAACAACTTCCTGCAGCTGAGCCGATGGTGCGTTCATGGACCACCGTGTGTGGAGCAGAAAACAAGCGCGAGCTCGTCTTCTTTCAGAGTGCACGTGTTGATCCGGATCAATAATCCGGTTTTCAATCCAGCTGCTCTTTGGATTAAAGTCGGTTTGAGGTCAAAGGTCAAACAGCTGTTCGCTTTCCACCAGCCTTCATCATCATCATCATCACCCACCTCATTTAATCCATCGATCCGCTCCGATCACCTCCTCCCAGCGCGAGCTGATCAATAAAACCGATAAACGCTGAGATCGTTTGATCTTCACCGCTCCGCCGCGCGACTGCAACTGAAGAGCCACCCGAGATGCGTTCAAGGACCCCGAGAAAACCTCCGAAATAAAACTTCCAGAAAAAAAATAGAAAAGAAAAAAATAATAACGGACGGAAGATGCATTCAGGTACAACAGGACACACACACTCCGCCCATCACAGGCCACTTCAGAGTCTGCTCCTGAAAACACACCTGTACTCACTGACATCTGACACAGGTAAAAGAACAATAGTTTAAATCTGTAAACTTCTTGTATATCTGTCCACTGTTGTCCTCGCTCGTTGTTAAACCAGGTCTCTGTAAATGAGTCCTGGAGGCTCCATGGGACTAACCTGCAGAAATAAAGGTTGAATGATCTGATTCAGAAGTTTCTAATTATGTTTCGTGTTTTATTCCTGATGCTGTAATTATTGTTATTTGTATTTGATGCTCTGATCTTTTTGTTAAGCACTTTGTATCAGTTCCTGATTTAAATGTGCTTTTTAAATAAATCTGACTTGACTTGAGGATCCCCCCAATCATGCACACACACACGCCTGCACGCACGCACGCACGCACACGCACGCACACACAAAGAACCAAAAAACTAACAATATTCATTTAATTTTGATGTTTTTTTAAGGAACTTTAAGGTCGAAGATTCTATTGATCAAATCCCAACAGGTTCCTGACCAAGAAAATACAATAAAGACTTTAAATTTTAACATTTAAACACACCCAAAATAAAATTCTAAACAAATGTTGAACTTCTGATGTAAAAGGATAAAACATTTGTATTCATCGCTTTTTGTTTCACTCAGAAATAAAAGCGAACGTTTGTTCTATTTCATTGAATTATAAATTAAATTAGGCAAAAGGACCTTGTCCTAATCCGCTCCTGTTTCCTGGAATATCTTGTAAAAAGACCTGAAGCTCTCGACCTTTGACCTCTCTAAGTGTCTTTAAGAATCTGTTGGACTCCTGGCAGGGACCAACGCAGACATGTTCCTGTTTTTAGTTTTATACATTCGCCTTAGAATCTAGCTGTTTTTTTTTTTTTTTTTTTTTTGTTTTGTTACCTTTTCCTTTTAGCCATCTATTTGTAAAAAAAAAAAAAAAACCCTGCAGTATGACTTTTTATAACTGTTTATTGTTGTTGCTGTTGTCCACTGTTGTCATCTTTCTTTGTTAAATCAGGTCTCTCTTGTAAATGAGTCCTCGAGGCTCAATGGGATTTACCTGGAGAAATAAAGCTTGATTGATAAATGATGATAGTTTATAAAGAAAATAGTTTTATAATTTCAGCTGATTTTGCAGATTACTTTTATTGTCGCTGTTTATTTTTCCATCCGCAACAATAACCAAGAAAACTGAGATTCATAGAAGAATCTTTGCTCTCTCTTTGGATTGTCTAATTTCCCATGAACGTAAAGGCAGCACAGTTTAGTCGTTGTGTTTTGGCGACATCGTGTGGCTGAACATCGGAAGTGCACGCAGGATGTCGGAAGTTATGGACTCGTAGGTGTGTCATAAAACACCCCCCCCCCCCCCCCACACACACACACACACACCCCAAAAAACGGTATAAATCAATAAATAATCACAAACTCCATACATTAAAATAAAAATATATTTTTTCATTTTTACAAAAGGCAGATGGATCCAAGGAGAAAAGCCAGACAAAGCGTGATGTTGAGGACTCTTATGGACAAACCAGTAGCTCAGTGTCCCATGCCTGGACGTGGATTACCAGGGCCCCACCCTGGGCTCGTTGGCAGGGTCTGGTGACCGGGTCTCTACCCATGGGACCCGGTCGGGCTCAGCCCGAAGGAGCAGCCCACCTGCAGCAGGGGCCATATGAGTCGGGTACATGACTCCATGGGCAGTGACTGAAGGCGGGGACCTTGGTGCTCTGACCCTGGTTTACCAAAGCTGCTCTTGAGACATGGAACGTGACCTCTCTGGTGGGGACAGAGCCTGAACTTGTACATGAGGTTGAGGTACTAACTAGATGTAGTTGGGCTCACCTGGACCTGAACATATATCTGGACCTGGACCTATATCTGGACCTGGACCTAGACCTGGACCTATATCTGGACCTGGACCTATATCTGGACCTATATCGGGACCTGAACCTATACCTGGACCTGGACCTATATCTGGACCTATATCGGGACCTGAACCTATATGTGGACCTGGACCTATACCTAGACATACAGTATATCGGGACCTGGACCTATATTTGGACCTGGATCTACATCTGGACCTGGACCTATATTTGGACCTGGACCTGGACCTATATCTGGACCTGGACCTATACCTGGACCTGGACCTATACATGGATCTGGACCTATATCTGGATCTGGACCT